TATATATATATATATATATATATATATATATATATATCGTACCTAATAGCCAGAACGCACTTCTCAGCCTACTTTGCAAGGCCCGATTTGCCTAATAAGCCAAGTTTTCATGAATTAATGTTTTTTCGACTACCTAACCTACCTAACCTAACTTTTTCGGCTACTTAACCTAACCTAACCTATAAAGATAGGTTAGGTTAGGTTAGGTAGGGTTGGTTAGGTTCGGTCATATATCTACGTTAATTTTAACTCCAATAAAAAAAAATTGACCTCATACATATTGAAATGGGTAGCTTTATCAATTCATAAGAAAAAAATTAGAGAAAATATATTATTTCAGGAAAACTTGGCTTATTAGGCAAATTAGGCCTTGAATAGTAGGCCAAAAAGTGCGTTCTGGCTACTAGGTACGACATATATATATATATATATATATATATATATATATATATATATATATATATATATATATATATATATATATATATATATATATATATATATATATATATATAACCACAGTTTCTCTTAACTCTACTCAACAAGATGTTAAACTGCCTTCATTACCCACATTATCTGGATCAGAGGATGAAATATAGGACAACTTCTGGAATAAATTTGTTGATTTTGTGGACTCAAAACCCACAATTCATAAAACAACTAAAAATTCACATTCCTTCAGGATCAACGTATAGGTGAAACTGAAAAGGTGGTAGCAAATTTAACCCTAAATAATGACAGTTATGATCTCGCAGTTCAGCTCCTTAAGGATAATTAAGACAACAAAGAAAGAGCTGTCTCACACTTAGTCCACAAATTGTTGGACTTACCCCCAACTAATTCAAACACAGACTTCAAGCATTCACATTGGAGCTTGAGTCATTACTTAATGCGCTCAGCCTTAAGGTTGATATAACCAGTGCTGAGTGGATGACTAAAGTTGTCATCCAGCACAAACTACCTAGTGAAATAATGGACAGGTTATGCTCCTTTTGTAACAAAAACACCCTGACAGTTGAGGAGAATATTGAATGTTTACGCTCTGTTGTGGAAAGACAGCGAGCAAATAAGGAATATAAACCACTAACTAAACCTTCAGAAAACATCCATAATAGCAAATCATAGAGTACTTCAAGTACTCCAACTAAACCAAAACAACCACCTCCACTCGTAAGTGGACATCTGGCAGTGTGTCCCACAAAACCTACAGTCACTGTGTCACCCAAGGTGGTGACTCCCAAAGGTGTTGTATGCCCAGGGCCGTGTTTGTTCTGTAATGAAGAACATTTCATATACCACTTCACCAATTATCCTGATCGTGCTGCAAGAGTCAAGCGACTCAAGGAGTTGCATAAATGTACAAGGTTCATTCAATCACATGATATTGTCACCTATGAGACCCAACTATGAACCTGCAGCAGGTGTAACAAAGGCCAGCATCAATCAGTACTGTGTGGAGACGTAAAACAAAAGTCTACAAAACCCAAGGTTGAAGAAGAAAGGGCTTCCGCCACCGAACAGTGTCTCATTAATTAAAATTAAAACCTGTTCAGGTAAAACTGAATGTAACGGGGTTCCTGACAAACACAGGACCCCAAGTCTACAAAGTGGTGCAACCATTAGTGTGTTTAGGCGGTTATGTCCAACCTGTACAGGCCATCGTAGTAGACAAAATCTCATCTAACCTATGTGTTCAAGGTTTAGGGACGACAGCCAAATTCCTACAAGAAAGGAGAATTAAGTTGGCTGATGACAAAATCATTCTGGCTACCTCACCCACATTGAAATACTTATAGGTGCAGACCTATTAGCGTAAATTCGTCACTAGATAAACTAAAAGGCAGGGAATGAACCTCTTACTGTCTGTTTGAGGCAAATTGCTCACTTGCTCAGTGTAACGAACCAAACGAGACATCACTTCCCTTTTAAAACGTTAGTAATGGTAACGATGTTCACCGTTGTTCCTACATTACTCTTAGCCCCCAGTGACACCATGTACTCCTTGGTGCTCGACCACCAAGTGCTACGTGTACAAAGGTCACTGCTGCTAAGCGTGGTAATCCTCCAGGACTGTATTAAATGGAAATATATATAACCTACTGAGAACAGCAGAGTTTGTCCTCACAACAGAATGCTCCAAAAGTATCCGGAAGAACGGGGAAGGATAACTGATGACCAAAGATGTTAAATTAATCATCTGACTGATTCAATTAATCGGCTGATATAATTATTATAATTATTAATAATAATAATTATTAATTATAAAAATTGAATTAATTAAATTAATTGACCGACATTGGCTGATTGCCAAACTAGTTGCCTCACTTAATTACCAAGACTTAATTAACTTACTCTTACTGAACTTTTACACACCAATGATTGATGAATACAATGCCAAATGAAGCAGGTAAGCTGACAAGTGAATACTGACAGCATTGCATGATGATACGATATTTAAGGAAAGTCAAACTGGTGACATGCATCCGAACTCATCATTATTCCTGATCTAAGATGACTCATTCTCCTTTGCCAAATCACCATGGTACTCCACTATATGAAACTCCTTATACCAGTTGATAACATACCTGATTTTATAACACTTCACTCCTCATTTTACATAACAATAAAGAGTGCTCAGAACCCACTCTTTACAAGGGCAACCATAAATCAGAACTCTATTGAAATACACGTGACGCCACTTTATAATCTCTGATAAGCTCCTTCCTTCTCACTTAAATGTTATACAAATGCCACGTCAATCCTCTCCTCTCACTCTACTTCTGGTGTGCAAACATGCGGTCACATGCATATATCTTTCAACAATACAAACAGCTTTAAATACAAAATAATCCATTCTTCCTAGGAACAGCTTAACTGTTACACAAGTATTGAATCTGAGAAAGCAAATACCAGTAGACAACCAAGGAGTCAGTCCAGTGATTGTTGCGTGACTAGGCGGAAAACAGTCACCTTTTAAGTTCAGAGATATGTCTGAGGATGAGCTTGATCCCCCTGCACACAAATTATGGGATCTAGCCGCCTTAGGCATCGTCCCTGAACAGCCTAGTCCAGACGATATCTGGACATACAAACGATACCTGTACTCAATTGTCTACAGGGATAACCAATACTGGGGCTACCTTGGAAGCTGAATCATCCTCAGCTGTCAGTAAATCAATTTCATGGCACAAAACCAATTAGGTCTCAGGTGTTGTGCTTAAATTAGAAAACCTAAGAACCTGAAATTGTACTATAAAATAATACGACAACAAATTTATCGAAGTTGTGGCCAATTATGACCCTAAGGAGGGACACTGTATGCCACACCATGAATAATAAAAAAAAGCCACTACCCCACTAAAGATAGTATTTAACTGCAGTGCTAATGCAGTGCTAAGGTCAAGCAGAATAGTGTCTCGTTGAATGACTGCCTTCAAACTGGCTCTAGCCTGACACAAAGGATGTCCCATGTGTTTTTAAAGTTAGGCATTGGGACAAATGCATACATGACCGACAAATGATCATACCATAAAGACCATATATGATGGGTCGCTGAATAACACAGACAACTTCAACATTTAGAAGTTAAACATCCCTGGTTTCTTGAGGGTACTGCCAACCAAACTTTTTAGCGTTTTATAAACGTTCTAAAAACGACGTTTCATTGTTTTAGGGACGTTTTGAAATTACGTTAAATAAACGTTTTTTTTTAATTTGTAAAGACGAGTATAAAACGTGAGGTCAACGTTTTAATAGAACGAGTTTTAAATGTTACGATATAGATTTTTGGAGCAAAGGTTTTTAAACATTAATTCCAAGTGTTAATTATTTGATTCATTAGGTATAATTATCGTTATTACATTTCGAAAGATAAAGACAGAGGAGAGTGAGAGAGACAGTAAGAGAGAGAGAGAAGAGAGAGAGAGAGAGAGAGAGAGAGAGAGAGAGAGAGAGAGAGAGAGAGAGAGAGAGAGAGAGAGAGAGAGAGAGAGAGAGAGAGAGAGAGAGAGAGAGAGAGAGGAAAGAGAGAGATGAGAGAAGAGAGAAAAGAAAGAGAGAAGAGAGTGAGGAAAGAGAGAGAGAGAAAGGAGAGAGAGAGAGACAGAGAGAGAGAGAGAGAGGGGGGGGGAAAGAGAGAAAAGAAAGAGAGTGAGGAAGAGAGAAGAAAGTGAGGAAAGAGAGAGAGAGAAAGGAGAGAGAGAGAGAGAGGAGAGAGAGAGAGAGAGAGAGAGAGAGAGAGAGAGAGAGAGAGAGAGAGAGAGAGAGAGAGAGAGAGAGAGAGAGAGAGAGAGAGAGAGAGAGAGAGAGAGAGAGAGAGAGAAGAGAAAGAGAGAGAGAGAGAGAGAGAGAGAGAGAGAGAGAGAGAGAGAGAGAGAGAGAGAGAGAGAGAGAGAGAGAGAGAGAGAGAGAGAGAGAGAGAGAGAGAGAGAGAGAGAGAGAGAGAGAGAGAGAGAGAGAGAGAGAGGAAAGAGAGAGAGAGAAGAGAGAGAAGAGAAAGAGAGGAGAGGAAGAGGGGGAGAGAGACAGAGAAGGGAGATACTGCCACCGAACAGGTCATCAACAGGACACTTGTCGTACCAAAAGGGTCCTGGACTAGACAGAATCAAATTTTTAGAGATCTTATCTCGGATCAATCTAAGAAATACTAAGACTTGGTGCATACTCTTACTCGTCAGCACCCTTACTATCTATTCCCAATCCCTGAAGGTGTCGTTGTGCCTTATTCAGCACAGCAGATTTACACTCCACCGGCACAGCAGCTACGAGGTCTGCCACCATACACAGCTGCATTCTCAAACAAGTTGCAGACATGAGGAGTCAATCGATCACCATATTGTCTGCCAACATCAGGGGCTTCATGACCAATGTTGGCGATCTCACACACAGCTTTGTGAACACTCATCGTCCTGCTGTGGTTGTTTTGCTAGAAACATTTCTAGAGGACAAGACTCCTGAGAACTTTGTTACAATTGCCGGTTAAACCGTATGGTTGCGCCGAGATGGGCAGAGTCAAGGAAGAGGGGGAGGGTGTTGCAGTGTGCATCAGCAAATCTGTGCATGTTAAACCCATTGATGTAGTCATCACTGGTCTTCTTGAAATTATGTTCTTCAAAATTGCCATAAATCCAGGTACCTCAATGCTCCTATGTGCAGTGCACAGACCTCAATGAAAGGGGGGCTTCCCCAATCAACTTCCTGATGGACAACCTAGACTCCCTGCTAATGCAACACAACGGTCAGCACATTATAAAGAGTACAGGAGTTAAAATTGACAAACCTCAGTTTGTCCTCATCGTCCCATCATTGTCCTTGAATCGACCTAATCAGTTCCTTTGAGAAGTTTGTCATTTCTAACTCTTGTACTCTTTCGGACCTGTCCGCCTTTAGAGGGGCCCTTATCTCCGTTTTTGATAGCTTGTTTACTAAATATCACCACCTTCCTCGTCGCTTCCAGCTTGCCCTTGCCACCCTGAAATCCAACAACTCTATTCTTATCCTTCCCTCCGACAAAGGCAATTCGGTGGTTGTCCTTGACCGTGAGGACTACCTCCGAAAAGCAGATGTCTTGCTCTCTGACTCTCACACTTATGCTCCTCTGACTTCTAACCCTTTGGATCGCCTCAAAACTTCCTTTAACCGCAAACTAAGACAGCTCTCTAGTCTTTGACATCCTGACTTCGATCTCTTTAAACGTTTCCGTGACATTTGCCCTTCTCTTCCTTATTTTTATTGTCTACCTAAGACTCATAAACCTGGTGTTTCTCTTCGTCCTATCATTTGTTCACGGGCTCTGTCAGCTATCCTCTTGCCTCCTGGCTCGCTAAAACCCTGACACCTTACCTTGACACTTTTTCTCCTGCCCACCTTCGTCACTCTCAGGACTTCATAGAAAGACTGCGCCTGCAACCCTCTTGTAAGATGCTTAGTCTTTATGTCGACTCTCTGTTCACCAATGGCGTTCGATGACGTTCTCTCTTTCCTTAGACAGAATGTGTCTGAGGGCCTTCTTCCTCTCCCACTTCCCACTGCCGTTTTCCTCGAACTCATTAGACTCTAACTCTTTCTCTTTTAACAGTAAATATTACGCTCAAACTTTCGGTGTCACTATGGGTTCCCCTCTCTCCCCCTGTTCTTGCTAATTTCAACATGGAATACTTCGAAACTGTTCTTCTTCCTTCTATTGATACTCGTCCCTCTCTCTGGCTTCGCTATGTTGATGACATTTTTGCTTTATGGCCTCATGACCTAAGTCTTTTCCAGCCTTTTCTCTCCTCTCTTAACAATCTGGCTCCTTCTATCCATTTCAAAGTTGAGTGGGAATCAAATTCCCTCCTTCCCTTTCTTGATGTTCATGTTCACAGCTCTGTGTCTGGGTTCTCTTTCTCTGTCTACCACAAACCCATGCATAGTGGCATGTACATTCACTTCTTTTCCTACCATCCTCTTTCTGTTAAGAAAAGTGTCCTCGTCTCTCTCTTCCTCCGCGCTCTACGCATCAGCGACCCTCAGTTTCTTGATTCTGAAATTGCCTTTCTCTACAAATCATTCTCTCGCCTTGGTTATCCTTTGCATTTTATCAACTGTGCCCACTCTCAAGCTAAACGAAATTTCTTTCATCCTAAACCTGCTTCCAACACTAGTAGCACTGTACTATGCCTTCCCTTCATATCTGAACTCAAAACTTTTACCAATACCTTTCGTCCTCTTGACATTAAACTCGCCTTTCGACAAACTAACACACTTCGTAGCAATCTAGTTCACACTGCTCCTCCTGCTTCTAATGCTACTGGTGTCTACTCTATTTCCTGTTCATCTTGTCCTCTCCAATACTTTGGCGAAACTGGCCGTACACTGAATGACAGACTTAAAGAACACAAGAGAAGTGTTATGTCTGCAGACACTAACAATGCTCTCTTCTGCCATGTGAGGGATTCTAATCATCCCATTGATTGGTCTTCCTCCAAAATAATCTTTCCTGCCTCTACTCTACACAGACGCCGTCTTGTAGAATCGGCTCTTATTAACAATGTACCCAACATGAACTTGAGTCCTGGCTTTGTTGCTGTGGACTCTTCCCTTTCACAGTATATACTCAAATGCTCTAATCTTTCTAACAAACGTGACTTAACATAAGCTTTCCCCCTTCCATTTCTTTCTTTCTCTTTCCCTTTCTTTCTCTCTTCTCCCTTTTTCTGTTCATTGTCTTCTCCTACGCTCCCTTGCTATCCTCTTCTTATTCCTATTACTATCTCCTTCGGTGGTTATAATAGGAGCTGCCTCGTATGGGCCAATAGGCCTGCTGCAGTTCTCATTACTACTATCCCCTACACCTGACTTTCCTCCTCAGCTTTTTCTTGCTGTGTGTGTGTGTGTGTGTGTGTGTGTACTCACCTAGTTGTACTCACCTAGTTGTGTTTGCGGGGGTTGAGCTCTGGCTCTTTGGTCCCGCCTCTCAACCGTCAATCAACAGGTGTACAGATTCCTGAGCCTATCGGGCTCTGTCATATCTACACTTGAAACTGTGTATGGAGTCAGCCTCCACCACATCACTTCCTAATGCATTCCATTTGTCAACCACTCTGACACTAAAAAAGTTCTTTCTAATATCTCTGTGGCTCATTTGGGCACTCAGTTTCCACCTGTGTCCCCTTGTGCGTGTTCCCCTTGTGTTAAATAGACTGTCTTTATCTACCCTATCAATCCCCTTCAGAATCTTGAATGTGGTGATCATGTCCCCCCTAACTCTTCTGTCTTCCAGCGAAGTGAGGTTTAATTCCCGTAGTCTCTCCTCGTAGCTCATACCTCTCAGCTCGGGTACTAGTCTGGTGGCAAACCTTTGAACCTTTTCCAGTTTAGTCTTATCCTTGACTAGATATGGACTCCATGCTGGGGCTGCATACTCCAGGATTGGCCTGACATATGTGGTATACAAAGTTCTGAATGATTCTTTACACAAGTTTCTGAATGCCGTTCGTATGTTGGCCAGCCTGGCATATGCCGCTGATGTTATCCGCTTGATATGTGCTGCAGGAGACAGGTCTGGCGTGATATCAACCCCCAAGTCTTTTTCCTTCTCTGACTCCTGAAGAATTTCCTCTCCCAGATGATACCTTGTATCTGGCCTCCTGCTCCCTACACCTATCTTCATTACATTACATTTGGTTGGGTTAAACTCTAACAACCATTTGTTCGACCATTCCTTCAGCTTGTCTAGGTCTTCTTGAAGCCTCAAACAGTCCTCTTCTGTTTTAATCCTTCTCATAATTTTAGCATCGTCCGCAAACATTGAGAGAAATGAATCGATACCCTCCGGGAGATCATTTACATATATCAGAAACAAGATAGGACCGAGTACAGAGCCCTGTGGGACTCCACTGGTGACTTCACGCCAATCGGAGGTCTCACCCCTCACCGTAACTCTCTGCTTCCTATTGCTTAGATACTCCCTTATCCACTGGAGCACCTTACCAGCTACACCTGCCTGTCTCTCCAGCTTATGTACCAGCCTCTTATGCGGTACTGTGTCAAAGGCTTTCCGACAATCCAAGAAAATGCAGTCCGCCCAGCCCTCTCTTTCTTGCTTACTCTGTGTCACCTGATCGTGCTTATTCTGTGTGTGTGTGTGTGTGTGTGAGTGTGTGTGTGTGTGGGTGTGTGTGTGAGTGTGTGTGTGTGTGGGGGGGGGGGTTACCAGGTGTGTGTGTGGGTGTGTGTGTGTGTTGGTGTGTGTGTGTGGGGGGGGGGTCAAGGTGGGTGTGTGTGTGGGTGTGTGTGTGTCTTGTGTGTGTGTGTGTGTGTGTGTGTGTGTGTGTGTGTGTGTGTGTGTGTGTGTGTGTGTGTGTGTGTGTGTGTGTGTGTGTGTGTGTGTACTCACCTAGTTGTACTCACCTAGTTGTGTTTGCGGGGGTTGAGCTCTGGCTCTTTGGTCCCGCCTCTCAACCGTCAATCAACAGGTGTACAGATTCATGAGCCTATCGGGCTCTGTCATATCTACACTTGAAACTGTGTATGGAGTCAGCCTCCACCACATCACTTCCTAATGCATTCCATTTGTCAACCACTCTGACACTAAAAAAGTTCTTTCTAATATCTCTGTGGCTCATTTGGGCACTCAGTTTCCACCTGTGTCCCCTTGTGCGTGTTCCCCTTGTGTTAAATAGACTGTCTTTATCTACCCTATCAATCCCCTTCAGAATCTTGAATGTGGTGATCATGTCCCCCCTAACTCTTCTGTCTTCCAGCGAAGTGAGGTTTAATTCCCGTAGTCTCTCCTCGTAGCTCATACCTCTCAGCTCGGGTACTAGTCTGGTGGCAAACCTTTGAACCTTTTCCAGTTTAGTCTTATCCTTGACTAGATATGGACTCCATGCTGGGGCTGCATACTCCAGGATTGGCCTGACATATGTGGTATACAAAGTTCTGAATGATTCTTTACACAAGTTTCTGAATGCCGTTCGTATGTTGGCCAGCCTGGCATATGCCGCTGATGTTATCCGCTTGATATGTGCTGCAGGAGACAGGTCTGGCGTGATATCAACCCCCAAGTCTTTTTCCTTCTCTGACTCCTGAAGAATTTCCTCTCCCAGATGATACCTTGTATCTGGCCTCCTGCTCCCTACACCTATCTTCATTACATTACATTTGGTTGGGTTAAACTCTAACAACCATTTGTTCGACCATTCCTTCAGCTTGTCTAGGTCTTCTTGAAGCCTCAAACAGTCCTCTTCTGTTTTAATCCTTCTCATAATTTTAGCATCGTCCGCAAACATTGAGAGAAATGAATCGATACCCTCCGGGAGATCATTTACATATATCAGAAACAAGATAGGACCGAGTACAGAGCCCTGTGGGACTCCACTGGTGACTTCACGCCAATCGGAGGTCTCACCCCTCACCGTAACTCTCTGCTTCCTATTGCTTAGATACTCCCTTGTCCACTGGAGCACCTTACCAGCTACACCTGCCTGTCTCTCCAGCTTATGTACCAGCCTCTTATGCGGTACTGTGTCAAAGGCTTTCCGACAATCCAAGAAAATGCAGTCCGCCCAGCCCTCTCTTTCTTGCTTAATCTGTGTCACCTGATCGTAGAATTCTATCAAGCCTGTAAGGCAAGATTTACCCTCCCTGAA